AAAAAAAAAACTAGAAGTTGAACACGTAATGGAATTCGCTATGTTGCATACGCGCACGTGTGTATCGAAAATAAAATAAAAACAAGAAATGTGACAGACAGCTTACGAATAAGAAATGAAATAAAATATGGATACACGACGACGACGAAAAAGCACAGCTCTTGTGAATTCTGCACCGTTGCCTCTGCGCCTGCCTGTAAGTGTATTTATTACGAATCGTCGTTGCAGAGAGACCGAGGAGAGCGAGAGAACCAAGTAAAACCAGCTTGTTTACCAAGCTCTCTTCCATGACCTAGTTTAACGACTCGTGCATTGTATGTATATCTCTCTCTCCAACCTCCTCTACGTGTATTTATAAGCCAGAGTCTGGATGCGCCGCGGTAGGCAGGCAGCAACAGCCTATGTACCAGTGCAGTATTATATGCGCTGGAAAATCCAGTGCACGCGACGGCGCGACACACCTCCTTAAACTCGAGCGTTCACCGAACGTCACATAGACATACCTTTTCTTTCTTCGCGCGCGGCTGTGCTAGCTTGCTGCGCCGCACACACAAAAAAAGGAGCAGAAAAAGCGCGCACAGGCTAAAACTTTTTTAAGCCAATGCAACGTGCTGTTGAAAACTTTGCAGTACGCGCGTCGAGCGTTACATTCGGCGCTGGAGGAGAGTCAGAGGGAGAGCGAGAGAAAAAATTTTTTACACGAAAATGAAAAAGTTGTCGGAAGGCAGCAGCACAGGCTAAAGAGAGTAAGAGAGCGAGGGGGAGAGGAGAGTCATACAGTTACGAGGAGGACGAGAGAAAAAGAGTAAAAAAAAATCTCTTTCGCCTACTATCGCGTATAGGTGGTTTTACGCGTCGAAATCCCTATATCTTTTTCCTAATCGCTTCTTTCGCCCTGGCGCATGAGCTACTGCATAGCTAGTCGCGAGGTTCTTTCCTATATTCTCACTCTCAAAGCGATCTTCGAAATTGAAAAATGAGGAAATTATGTCGAGAAGTTCGAGGCTAGAAAAGCAGCCTGGCAGTCAGGCTTGTGCACGGCTTATGCAATGAGTAGGAGGAGGAGGAGGAGGAAGGAAAAAAGTCACAGGCTGGCTTCGATGCCAAAGAAAGAAGTAGAAGTCGCTAGTTGGAGCTAAAAAAGCGGAAAAATGAGTCAGCGCGTTAATGTATAGTGTGTGTGTGTGTATGTGACCCTTTCCACATCGTCTGCGTCAACAGTATTTCATGCCGAAAGAAAAAGTTTGCTCGTACGACGCCGAGGCGAAATTAGCGCGAGCGCGCGTTAGCATGGGTGTGCATACTAGTGTTGGTGTGTACGTGTACGGTGGGACGTACTTATACGTATAACGTGAATAATGTTGCGGCGCTAAGATATGACTTTTATCTTTGAGCCAACTTTCGTTAATTTTTTTCTCCTTACGACCAAAACTTATCCCTGGCAAAAATTAATCGAGCAAAAAAGTGTATTTTACCAAGCTTGTGTACTTTGAAAAATTTCGAGAATCAGAAATTAAATTGCCTCACAGTCGTTCAAACTATTTGATAATCCGTAAAATATCAATGTTCAATAAACGAGCATCATATTATCATGAATCTCTCTCTCTCTCTCTCTCTCTCTCTCTACTTCTCTCTATGGCTAAACACAACTCGTCGCTTTTTAGCGCAAACCAGTCGTCATTAGCCGAGTGGTACTGGTTGGGACGAATAGTCGAGTCTATTGTTGAGCATCAATGGGCTCGCGATCGAATCGAAGAGATAACTGCGAAAGCAGCAACGCACTATATACGTAATTAGAGCCGACGTGTGGCATAATGTCTTGTTTCGCCTCGTGCGCGCCTATATATATTCGCCGCGATATTGTGTAGTACATCAATAGATTCTCTCGTGCCAGTATTATCATCACTGACGTACGGGATAATTATCTATTTGAAATTACCCACGTGGCTGCGTACGCCTCTATTTTAATGCATTAATATATACCCGACTTTGATTCGTCTTAATGTCACTCGGGCTTCTCGGGCCTGCAAGTACGGTTTTATCGTTCATTTTTACGACGGAAAAATATACTAGCGTCGGACGTGCGCTACAAATAATGACCTGTCGGATTTATTATTATTTTTTTCTCAAGATATGCTCTTAAGCTTTATTATTTAGTGCATCGTTGACAGCAGCAAATTTTACAAGCTCGGCCTAAAATCAATTTCCAATCGGATGAGCAATTATTATATCCTTGGAGACTCGCCGGGCGGTCGAAATCAAATAGCAAAACATCACGCGGTGCTCGGCTGATTATATATCGCCAAGTTCGAGAGTTCTGCCTCGCGTAAACCAAGCATAATATATGTGTGTGTGTGTCTCTCGCTCTCTCTTCCTCTTTCACTTGCACACGTTCTAGAAACAGCTTCCGCATGAGCGAGCGCTTCATCGGTGCAAGCTCGCACTACTTATCGCCGCACGATTTAATTGAATTATAAACGCTCGCTAATTCCGGGCGCGTTATGTATATGCCGGCGCTATTGCTGCGGTCGACACTCGCACCCTTCTCCCCCCCCGAAAACACATGCACACACGGGTGAGAAATTAGAATTACATTCTCGGGATTTCGCAGGCTCAGCTCCGCACGTATCTATATTCGCTCGTGCGCCAGCGATATCAAAGGTATTCATCATTTTGCGAGCTCAATTTTTCATTCCTGCGATATATGTGCGCGTTCGCGACGACTCGACGAATCCTGAAATTTCTCTGTCGCGCGCGCGCTTTCTCCTCGACGTAAAAGAACAAAGAGGAGAAAAGTCAAGCTGGCGTATTGCAGGGATGCACGTATATTTACGTTTATGCCTTGACTTTTTTATGAGATATTCTCTCGTTTTTTTATGTTGCCTATTTCTTCGAGCTGTTTATACACATACACGCGCGTATAATATATACACCGCGGCGAAAAATAATAAAAATACCGCTGACTTTTTTTTTATCTCGCGCACGTGTGAGAGGTACTTTAACGGGTTTTTTTTCTCCGGCTGCTCGCGCACGCTCGTGCGAAGACGATGATCCTCCGTATTCTCGAATTATTAATCGACGATGTTCGTCGCTCGCATTCGTGGCCGTTATCGGCTGACGAATTTACATATATTATACACGAGTAGGAGCTTGGGTCGCGTTCTACGACACCGATACATCAATACTAAAATTATTCCTACTCCGCATCTCCACGTCTAATGACGCGTAATAGTCTATGCGTAGATTTACACTGCGCGTCCTTGTTACGAATGTAACCCAAATTATCTCCGTGCACGTTACTCGGCTCCTCCATCTCTCTTAGCTATTTCAGAATCTACAATAATTAATTAGCGAAACTCGCCTTGGGATAGAGTCGCGCGCGCATACATACACAACACTGCAGAATATCGAGCGCCTACATCGAGTCTCAAATCAGTAACGTAGTCGAGCTTATCTTTGTGTGTACCGTCTAGTACTCTAAATCACCGCAAGACGAATATATGCAACGCGTGTGCGTAGGTGGGTTGCGACGCAAGCTGAGCTCAAAGTAGAGAAATATCGGATAATTATTGATGCTGCCTGCGCAAATTACAAATCAAAGCAAAGCTCCGTTATTAACAACATTGCTGCGGGTCAATCAGTTTGCCAATTATAAAGGGAATTTCGCGATTAATATGATTTTCAAGCAAAACGCTCGGGGTCATTTTTCAGGTAACGATAAAGTAATTTTGTTCTTTTCGTCCGGCGCATGCTAGCTCACATAATTCCCCAGTCTTCTTTTCAACCTTCTTATATACAGTGATACATATACGTCATGGCGTTCTCTAGCCTTAGCCCCGAGAAGGACCCGGATCGCAGCACCAGCTCGTTCCTCAAAGTCAGCTTTCCGAAAAGCATTCGTTATCACGAGTCGTAGCTCCGCTGTATATAGTAGCTTATATATACCTATATACGAATACAGTTGTAGTGCAGTGTGTGCAATGGATCGACGTCGACGAGGTATAGTATAGCAGCAGTAGCAAGCCTTTCGACCATTAACAAGTCTCTGCTACACTCTAGATTCTCTGAGGGAGAAAGAGAGAGAGAGAGAGAGAGAGAGAGAGAGAGAAAGTCTAGAGCAAGAAACATCGCGAGGTGATCAATCTTCCACAAAGTCGAACCTATACATATATACCTTTTGCCTTTACTCTTTTGACTATCTTGCGCGCTACACAGAGATGCTTCTACCTTGCACATCCGGCTCGATGAAGCGAACCATATCGTCCCTGTACGTCGATGAATCCATTTCTCTCAGTCGTCTCCAAAGATTATCTCTCTGATTTTTTATGACGCGTATCAATCTCACTCTCGGTAAAGGATCGATTGGGCCAGACACATGGACCACGCCGTCCAACTCGAACACGTAATTAGGAAATTTACAACCCAGTACGTGAACTGCGAGCGTCGCGCTTGAATTGCGCCAAATTCGCTTTCACGAATTGTGTGAAAGATTCGAGTACATAAAGCCACGAGCGATCAACTGTCTAAAACTTCCCTAACTCGAGAGCGATATACGCGTATATATACACATCCAATAGACGCTGGGAAGCCGTTACACTTCCAACTGCGCAGCCGAACTTTGTTGGACTTGCGCTTGAGAAATTGCAGGCTTGCCTACATCGAATGAAAATTTTACTTTGTGTGCCGCCGCCGACGCCGCTGCCGCTGCTGCCTCGTTCGGATAATAGAGAAAAGATATAGAAGAGCAGGCGAGTGAGAGAAGAAGTATGTCTGGCGTGCATCATACGCGTGTGTTCGCGCTCGCAAAAGTGCCTCGCGAGAGGGGGTACCGAGAAAATTGATTAGAGCTCGAAATTTAATGTAATGAGTTCCGATGAAAGGGGGAAGTTCCCAAGAATGTTACACAAGCATTTTGTAGCGGAGCTTATATATTCATTATATTCAAGAAATTGTTCGAGCGTTAAAATAACATTTTGGTATTTTTTTGATTTGTGTTACAGGCAGTGGCGAAGATACCAAAGTTAGCACGGGAGACACTAGTAAATTAGGTATCAAGAAGCCCAGACCAAAAGCCTCGTCGCCGAACCGGCAAGGACCTCAACAATGTCAGGTGAGTCGAGCTTTAACTTTTTGAACTTCTGCGTATAATGATGTGAATTTACCGCTCGATCGAACGTGAACGGATTACATAAAAAAAGATCATGTAGTTTCGTCGCAGGACCAAAAACGAATCGCAAGCGCGTTAAAAAAGAAACACGTACAAGAAAACCACAAATTTGAGAACACTGTCGCTTTTATTATTTGCCGTGCCTATTTCCTATTTTGTCCTCTGCACATGCGGTAAACCTTTTCTTTCCTTCTCGTCTACGGTCGAGCGGGCATCGGCTGCCACCGTTGCCGCTAACGAGGTCGACCTACTTTGGTTTTACCGCTTTATTCGCTTCGAAAAACTCAACGCACTCGACTCCACGTGTGCATGTTACCATGTGCTTGGATGTGTGTATATGTGTGTGTCTGTGTGCTTGTGAGTGTGTATAGGTGGCTTTATACACATAGGTTTAAGTTCGGAGGGTTTTAGAGAGCGGCTCATACTGGACAGCAATAGCAAAAATGGTTTTTCGAATTTGCCCCTGTGCGCTTTTCAGCACACTACACTATGCCGTGCTTACGCTATATGGTTTGAGTTATGCTTTTTGCTCAAGCTCTCTAACGAGAATTCTTTGTTTCGAAGTGCAGAATTTATTTAATTTTTTGCTCTTTTTGCCATGCGCTCAAAAGCAAAGATGAATGAAAAACGTGGGAATAAAAAAATTGCTAAAATAATTAAAGCCCTTGTCAGTACAACAACTGCTTTCACTGAGCGAGAGAACAGAGAAACAAAACATTCTTGTCCGTCACAATATGCAATATTATTTAAACCATGTGTGCACAGTCGAAATGATCGAACAAACATTCATGTATCAGTGATTTTTCTGAAAACATCTCTATTTATATACACGGAAAGAAATAGTGCATTAAATATTATCATATTCGCTAACGAAAATTGCTACGTTCGCTAGGAAAAGTACTCCACAGTTGATGATATGTATTAATTTTCGCAACGTAAAGAAGTAATTTTTGGTACATACAAAATTCATAATTTAATGAAGTATTCCTTGGTATAATTATAACAATTTTTTACTCATGATAATGCAATAATTTATTCAGTAAATAAGTCATTCTGAAATTATTAAAAAAAAATAAATTTATTTTTATAAACGGATTTATTTTCTTGACAAATATTGTTTTGTTTTTGAGAACAAAACTGTTCATCAATGTTTACACATACTAGGTCCTAGTATGTACTTACTTACTGTAGTAGGAACTTCGTTTTTCTACTTGGGGATTTAAAATCCTCCATCTATTGATGAAATTCGAAAGCTTTGATTACGATAAATCATTACACCACAAAACGCATTTTAAAATATTAATCCTTATATATTCCGTCAAAACATCCTAAATTTTATCATAAGTCAATATTTGTTATGGTAACATTTAAATAATTAGAATTACTTTTAAACCATTTTGAACCACCAAGCTACACAAATAACTAAAAACCCTGATAATCCAACTGTATTACCCCTCCCTCGCCCAACTTAAAAATTTTAGCTATCGATTGAAATACAGTATTTTTTCTTTGTGCAGAATTTTTGAACTGTCATTTGAGTATAAAAACAGATTAAAAACAAATTTACGTTACAACTTTTTATTGATATGCTGTCTTTTATAAGTTTAATATCAAATTCGTTCATCTTTGCAGCTCAAATATAATGTTGATCTCAGTAGTTTGTTACTAATTATTATTGATTTAAATATGACAAGAGCAATAAAGACATAGTATTAACCGCACAAGTGCCGCTCGCGCTCGAAGCAGGAAGTAAATTATAGCCGCTCGATTATCGTATCACCATCCGTCCGTCTTGGCCTTGCTCTTCGTCGTCGTCGTCGCCGTTGAGAAGTGAGCTTAATTAAATGAGGGGGAGGGGCTGGATCCTCAATAGACCCACTGTAATTCTCATCGATGTATCGAGTTAACGACGAATTAGTTGCCGTACCCTCTTAGCTTCGTTCGCTTTTAGCTCCGAACTCTATATGCACACACACAGTGCTCAGTTCTTCGTTAGCAAGCTTCAAAGTATATGCAGCACCGCACCGATACACCCACACATACACATCTCGAATTACAGCCTATCTTCCCTGCTGTACTTTTCTTTATTGTATGCCAGTCCCCCTTTATCGGCACGTAGTATAATGAAATAACGTCTGGTTGACGGGACAACTTGATGCTCTTTCGCATAAGTTGATATGATGTTCTTTGTTCCTTTGGTGTACAAAACTGACATGTAATTTTCCTTTTTTTTTTAACTGCTTGAAAAAAATCCACATAATCTCTATGATTATACAGCAGGTTGTCTTGCAATCATCGAAGAGAAACTTCAGTAAGCTTTCATCTGTTTTCCTCGTGTTTCTCTCTCTCTCTCTCTTTTACTTCGCAACGACGAGCTTTGCTACTGACATTGGTCGGCCCCTTAATTAACCGAATTTCCCGAAGCAAGTTAGACACGCGCACGCGCCGCATCACACCACAGCAATCGCGTGCTCGCGCGTCGCCGTGATTTCCAGACCAATTTATTCTTAGGCGTCGACAACAAGCTATATAATACTAGTAACCACTTAGCCCGTGCACGAGAAATTTGCCGTCTCTTGTTTACTTTCTCTCTATCTTTCTGCCTAGCTGCTACCTACATCCAACCGACCTAGCAGTTCGCGCCCACGTACACGTGCGCACACCCACACACATGGCTAGCGCGTCTGGAAAATACACGAGGTAAATTGAAACTGCAACGCGCATCGTTGCTCAGAAAAGGATACAACTCGAGTTGTGCGAATTAAGCTGTACAAAATCTTTCTTTATTTTTTTGTTAGAATAAGCGATCTCGTGTTTTACTGAGCCTGCTCTCGTTTGAATTTTGTCTATCTTTGATGACTTATCTTTCATGGAAAAAAGAATACATAATACAACCACAGACGATAGATCGGATTAACACGAGGCGATATATAAATCCTTATGATTCGCGATTCGAAGACGAAATAAATCGAGCAGCCGAAACAACAGGCGCTGATATAAATCAGCGGGAATTCGGATACATATATAAGGGTGCAAAATTCGCTCATAGCCATGTATAGGTTTTGGCCGAGAGACATAGAGCCAAATGGAGCGATAAAGCGAAAGAGCTGCACTGCGAACAAGAATCGAACACTGAAATGCGGATCGCCGAATCAGCAGTATAACCCGCCCGCCGTATATATACGGCAGTTTTCTCTTGCTCTATTAGTCTCTATCTCGCTTTAAAACTGAATGCCTACACACACGTATACACTAGCGAGGCTTGCGCTCTCTCTCTCTCTCTCTCCATCTCTCTCGGTTCAAAACCAATCAATTCCCTTCCTAGCCAATGCGCACAGAACAGCGTCGGCAGCAGCATGAATTACATACACACACGAAAGTACTGTATATGTAGCAATTCGCTAATAAGCATTGCACAGCGTGAAATTAGCTTTACCGAACGCGCCCAGAGCTTGATTGTCTCGCGCTTGCCGCCCGTATACTTTTTCTCGGCTTTTTGCGCGCTTGCGCGGGTACACCGTGTACAAGCTACTATACGTATATCGCACCTAGGATAATGACGCTACATTGTTTCGCGCTTCGAAATGTTCTCTCTTCTCTTTTCTCTATCTGTATATGGTCGTTACGCGTGAACGGCTTGGAACAATGGAACTTTATATACGTGTACATAAAGAGATATATATTTTTAGATGGAACGTGGTCGCGCACAACCTGCTGTATCATTCAAATTTTTTGAGCTGAATTTATATAGATTCATACATTTGCATGATTGATTCAAACAAGCCAAATTGTTTATGCTCAATTGGCTGATTACAGAGGCTGATTTATTCATGTCGTCAACGACGACGACGGCGACGACGACGATGAAAGTTCATCCCTTTGTGAACGATGCATTCAAATTGACGGCGGTAACGTGTATAATAATACGTTGAGTATTGATGTTGATTCATTCGTTTCGATTAAATACACGACTCGGCTAGTAGTCAAAGAATCGTATTCCTCCTACCACGTTTAAAGTTAAAATAACTAACGTAATACGAACATTATAAGCTTTTGATATATTATTGCTTCTAATGCAGCCATTCGATGGAATATAAAGGACGATGAACATTAAGCGTACGAAAAATATAGTAAAAATGCAATTGAGAGATCACAACTAGTCTGTTCTGTTACCGTTGCTACTAGTTATCGAGTGTATTCTTGTGAAATTCGATGCACTACGAAGCCAAGTATGCATGTATTAATTTTAAGAGGGCTTGTGTGTTAATTGAAAATTGTCATGCGTGCCGATACATGGTATGATATACTCGCATAAGCTATGCAACGCACAACAATGACACAATGATTTTTTCCCTCAAAGATGAATTTCTCAATCGGTTTCCGCAAAAACATCATATGAATTTTCCTCTCCTCCGTCTCTCCTTTAGGTAAAATGAATTTTCCTTCATACACGCGCCAAGTTAATTATGCTTTGGCATGCTGCCTGTGCAAAGGAAGCTCGTGTATCTCTCTTTCTCTCTCTCTCTCTCTCGCTCTCCTTTCTCGTTGCCAAGGCACATGAGTTGAAAGACGACAATATACATAGCTATGTATGTGTTCGCGAGCGAGCAAGTTACGTGATGCACGCGTAAAAGGATCGCGAAGGGGAAGCTGTGAAAGATTCCCTTCTCTCGCACGTTGCAGTGTTCGTGTAATTTCTCACTCGTGTGTTTCTTGCTCTGTATGTTCACAGGTATGCGGCAAAGTATTCAACAATGCGTCGGCACTCACGAAGCACAAGCTGACGCACAGCGACGAGAGAAAATACGTCTGTTCAATGTGCGGCAAAGCATTCAAGCGGCAGGACCACTTGTGAGTTGAAATATTTATTATTTTTCATTAAATTTTATTATTATAATTATTATTTCGTCAAGGTATGAATCGGTCGTGTGATCCTTTTAGTAAGATTTTTTTTAATTCGTTAAATAATTTACCATGCCCACCTGCGCGATGATTAAAACTAGTAAATTAGATTGAAGCAAAGAAATTTTCTTCGTTAACAAGAAAAAAGAAAGAAAGAAACGAAAACTTGATTAAATATTAGAAACAGCGCGCCGCTAGTGGAAAGAACATTGACTTTTCGTAGAGAAAAGGAAAAAAGAAAGTTGCCAAGCCAAAGACACAGAATATAAGAGAGAGGTATCAGCAGTAGCATGCAAGGCCCTTTACCTCCTCTATCTCTCTCTCTCTCTCTCACTCGAGGTACTTAGCGTTCTGATCCGTCGTTCTTTAATACTTCCGTATACAGTGCGAGCAAGGAGAGCTGCGGGCGCACAATAGCAGCAGTGCAGAAAATATTGGCAACGAACAGTCACGTCGTCGTCTGCGGCTCGGGCGCGCGGGGCACGTTCGCTTCATTATTAAACGAAACACGCCATCGAGTTGAGCGTGAGCGCAACGGCCAGCAGCAGCAGCAGCACCGGGCTACGTTGAAAAGGAACAAAACAAAAGGCAACTTGTGTGTGTGTGTGGGCAAAGAATACGCGCGCTTAAATATCCCAAAAATAGTAGAAGAAAACTGTTTCAATTGCTGGATATGAAAAGAAATCGATTTATAGTTTTGTTATCGAGTAAAACATACAATAAGAAATGTCTGACCGTACGCAGACTTATCTACTATATCGGATCGCAAGGCGATCGAATTTGTCCATTAAGTTTAAAAAGACGGATAATCGGGAACGATGGAGGAAAAAAATTCGACTTTATCAATCGCTGAGTGGTCTTTTGTCTTGGCGACTATTAAAAGATTCGAGGAATCTCGGAGTCATAGGCACGAAAACGATTCGCGAATCAACTTGTCTCACGGACGAGTTAACAAGAATGACTTTTTCCTGGATGAAATTTGCATTCAATGCACCCGAGTCTTGCAGCTTTGTCTCTCTTTATTCTTTTTTTTATCTATACAAAATAATGCTTTGCCGTGTCTTCGTCGACGTCAACTCTCAGAGATATTTTTCCTTCTTACTTGCTCGGAACTTTGCTATATACGACTTTATTTTTATCACTTTGCCCGAACACTTCTTTTTTCCGAATGTTTTCTTGCTTCTTGTCTCTCTCGCTCTTCTTTTGCTTTTTTGCGCTTGTTTTCGTATATCTTGAAACTGAATGGCTATTACTGTACTTGCTACTTCAAAGGGTGCTCGTTAAAAAAGTCTTATCTCTCACTTTCTCTCGCGTATTTTGTTCCTTTTCGTAAGATTTAAAAGCTCGGCGCTATTGTATGGGTTGTACCATTGTATCAATATCTTGAATTAAAAATATCATTACTGCTCCAGAATTTCTGATATTTATAACAATCGATTGATGGGATTTTATAAAAATATAAGTAATGAAGTATATTACTCTTCTTCTTTTTTTTTTTTTTTTTTATAAAAACATCTCAACTCAATCGAGCGTGGTTTCGTTGTGTCCATACATTTTTAACGAAGTACAAATGCAGCGTCGGAACATGGCTTCATTGTCGCTGTGCTTACGAGCCATCTTATCCACTCTTAATCTCAAATCTTCTTGCAACAGCAGCAGTAGTAGTCGTTGTAGATGTAGTGGCAGTAGTGTTTAGTCGTAGTAGTAGCAAGACTGTGCTTCGTAGCTCTTAACGACGTCGTTCCGTTTTCCCAGACTGATACCCAAGCTACAGCTGCTGCTATCTGTCTATATCCAGCAGTTTCGTGGATTAACCTATTAATACTCTGAATCTCCAAACGAACGATTGGGATCGTAGGTAAAGAGAGAAAAATGTCAAAATCCACGATTAAGCCTATCGAATTTACTTGAACGCGTTTAATCATACTTCAAAAGAATGGTTTGCAAAAAAAGGCTCGGTAAACACACGCGTGCGAGAGCAGCCGCATGGGTTAGAAGGTGAGAGAGAGGGTGAGTGAGAGAGAAAGAAAAAAAAACCTGTTGATGCAAAATTGAGCATGTACTTGTTGCGTTGTACAAAAGACCTCTACGTAGAGCAGCAGCAGCAGCAACAGCAGCAGTGACGGCAGCAGCGGCGGCGGTGCAAGAGGCTGCACCGGCAGTAGGCGTCAAAGCGCCCAAGGACAAAGATTGAGCGAGCAAGAGAGGAAGTAAAAGAGAATACGAGTATGCTTGTGGCGCGCAAACAGAGGGGATGAATCAAGAGGTGCAGCTAGAAAGCGAGCGAGAGTGGCGAGATAAGCAACAAACCTCATCTATAATATTTCAAGAGCTCGTTCTTCACTTCTTCTCCTTCTATGTTGTATAAATGCATTCGAGAGCCGAGCGTGCTTAAGAAAATTATATGAGACGCAAATGGTATCGATTTTTCGTGACGAACTAAAGCACCGTGGCTACTCTTAAACTTTGTCTATCTCTGTTTCTCTCACTCTTTACTTTACAGAAGTAAATACGATCATACGTACGTCCAATAGAATTTTCAACTCATCGTTCGCAACGAAGCTCTCGCCGGACGCACGTTTGTCTGTATAACGTACATTAGAAACTACGCCGTATCTTATAGCTACAGGCGAGGTAAGAGAGCAAGTTTGACGCAAAAAACTCTCAGAAGGTGAAACAAGGCTAGTAGTAAACCTATATGCACTTATAATACAGCTATATACTATTTGAGCATGCACACGCTGCCGCACGAAAGCAAAATCCTGCGGAAGGATTTCCGAAGAGAATAGATCTTGGATATAGATAATACGCTCATACATGCGTATATCTACGCCTTTCTTTTCAGTTTCAGGGATGTGCTCGGTTGAAAGCCGGGCTGTATATATGACTGTTGCATACCTCTCTCAGCGATGGCGCAACCTGATGCGGCGCGATTGTATTCGGATTTCAAATTTTGTATATACCTGAATACAACTCTACGCATTGAGAGAGAGATAGAGATAGAGCGAGCGAGTGAGAGTGAGCAAGTGCGTCTCTACGCACACATACACGTGTATATGCTAACTATTTCTCTTCTATTTTACACATGGCTTGTCGACGTATGCGCCTGGCTATAGAGCCTTTTACCTCCCTCGAGGTGAATTCGCGTGTGTATGGCAGAGATCCATGTCTGTCTCCCTTTTGACTGTATACTCGGAGTCACTTTTACCTGCGTTTGTGTACATGTAGCCTGCTCCGTTCGCGCACATGTATGGCAGTATATTGTGAGCAAGTACGATGCACACATCAGCTTACAGATTCTCGTATTCTAGTGCTGTACACTTTACGAGTTCGGAAGCAATACGCACTGCAAAAGAGACATAGAGAGAGAGAGAGAGAGAGAGAGAGAGAGAGAGAGAGAGAGAGAGAGAGAGAGAGAGAGAGAAACTAGATAGTGTACGTCGATTGCGGAAATGCGTTAGGCTCCATGAATACATATTCTCCAACAACAAATGTACAAATTGCGATGACACGGTTTTTATTTTGCTTATTCAATGTTCACAGGAACGGTCACATGCTGACGCATCGAAACAAAAAACCCTACGAGTGCAAAGCCGAGGGCTGCGGCAAGTCCTACTGCGACGCTCGGAGCTTACGGCGACACACGGAGAATCATCACGCGCCGAACAACAACAACAATACCGCGCAGAACAACAATGGCTCGAGCAACAATGCCTCTACGCCGAGCACCACGACGACCGACAGCACGTGTCCCAGCAGTCCTACGACGGGCCCGAACACACCCAACACGCCCGGCAGCAATCCCAGCACGCCGAGCACGCCCGGGGCCAGTGCGGCCGTGACGACCAGCAACGGCCACGGGCACACGGCGCTCAAGCAATTGCTGGCCTCCGAGCCGACTGGTACTCAACTCAAGGTTAGCAAATATTTCCTGCCCGATGTGATATTTCGCCCCGAAAGTATTTTCTCGTTCGCTTTAGTCAAATTAATTAATAATTTTAAAAGCGTGCGCGCACACTTACATACTTCGAGCGCGCGCGCGATCGATGATTAATTGCCAGCGTCACGCGTGATGGAAATGTTTCACCTTGTTAAAATTTTCGAGCGTAAAATATAAATGCATCCTTCGAATTTTTTAATTAATTTAGAGCTTTGGGTTGCCTCGTTTTTGCGACTGCCGACCGTAAATCCGTCGTAAAATTGACACAAAAATATTAATTCTTTGAAAAAAGAATTAAGTTGCAATTACATCCAGTCCTGTTAAACAGGTGATAATTAAAGAAGTAAATTTTTGAAGCAAAATATTTTAATTAAAATGATAATAGAAAATTCATGCATTCTGAAATTAACCCGTGCTTCACCTACTTTTATCCTTTTTAAAAAAATGCCCACTATCGAGAACAAATTACATTACTGACACACGAGATATATAAACTTTATCGCTCGAAAAGTTAAAAGAAGAAATGTCGTCCAGAATTCTCAGTGAATATTTGCAAAGGAATTGAGAAATACCAAGTTACAATAACTCAAAGTTACTGCGGAAGGTAATAAAAGTTGATTGCTAAGAAATCATCTCGTTGGCACGCGATTGATTGTATAACGCATAAAAACTTGGTCTTGAAAAATTATTATTCGTTTACAGTCGGAATATCGGGTGTTTGTTTGTAGCATGCCCAATTGAAGTAGCTCCACGGAGAAACTTTAAAAAAAAGCGACAAAGTTTCAACCCGCTAAGTGTACTTGCCCGTCGGTTTTCGCGGTGAACGTTGAAATTCTTCGAGTCTTTAATTTTTTTCCTACGTTGAAAATTTAAAACTCAACGATTAAAAGGCGTTGCATAAAAACAAACACATTCGCTCGACAAGTCCATTTCACTTTTCTCCACATAGAAATCGCACGTACATGACGTGGTCTGTTCCTCTTCGCAAACAACCAACGCGATACGGAGATTTCAATTTAAGTCTCATAAAACTTTTTAAATTAACCTCGCACTCTTTCGCGAGCAGCGCACTCTTATCTCGAGGAACTTTTTGCCTATTCTCATTCCTCTCGTATAACGTCTTTCTCACTCGATGTCTTAATGTACTCCAAGCAGCTGTAACGCACTCGCAGAGGAAAAGTAATCTTGGCTTTCATTTTGGATTTCCGATAAACAGATCTTTTTAATTACGCTCCACGCTTTCGACTTTTTTCTCTCGTACCGATGTAATTTGCATACATTTTCCATAGCCCACGTGACCATTGAACACGATACGACGGCGATAAAAAAAAACAAAGGAGTAACGCGAATAACAGTCGGGTATTTATCGAAGTTGACTACTTCAGTATCGAGCGAAGCCTCGGTGCCTCGGGATCTTAATGCAATTAGCGCAACTCAATTCTCTCTCATTCTCTTGCATTTAAACTCGTATAATTACTAGAATCGCGTGTATAACTGTCATCGTCTGAATTCGGATTTGCGAGGCGAAAGCTAGAGTATGTTTGCCGTATCGCCCGAGGCAAGCTTGAAAAAAGACACTCGTGCTCGAAACGGTAGGCTCGTGCATTATTCTAAATTTTGGTTTTCAAAAATTATTAAATCGTTGAAAAATCGACGTGAACGCGAAATCGAAGTTGCATAAAAATGTATATACGCTCTTCCCACGGTCGCACCACGCCAGTACTTCATTTATCTTTCCCCCCGAAGCTCGCAGGAGTTTGCTACATGTATATACGAGTCGTAGTCCCGAGCTTGAACTTAAGCTCATTGCTAGCTACACGTCAAGCCCTTAACTATGCTACGCTTCGCCCCTCATACTCCTACCTCAGCTCTCGTGTCTCGAGTAAATACATTCGATCTGCCGTCGAACAAGCTTCTAAGAGAGATATAGAGAGTGATAGAGAGAGGGAGAGAGAGGGAAGCGCAGCAGCAGTGGTAGTACCACACTGTGCTTTCCTTTGCTTCTCCTCTAGCTCGCATAGAGAGAAATAGATATACCTTTTAAGCAGCTTGTGCACCTCTCTCTCTCTCTTTCTCGTTGGAGGCGTAAATACATGTATATATAGGTATATTCCTCTAGATGTATGTGTATACTTAAGACCAGATAGAGGAAGATATTGCCATTGGACGATTGCCAATACAGAGAAGCTCTCTTAAAGAGTCTCAAATACTGCCTGCTACCAACCATCGTTCCCCATCCTTCTCTTTTATTCTCTCTCTCTCTCTCTCTCTATTTCTCTGCACCTTCATTTTTATTTCGTGTGTATTCGCCCTAGCGTATATACTACAAATCGTCTTTGCTCGCTATAGGCTTATAGGTTGTATTCGATCTCATTTTCCAACGCATCTTTTCATTCATCGTTTGTATATGAATAATATGTTTAGTATGAGTGGAATGTTATGTGTTTTGATTGAAGGCTGCGAGCGGGGCTGAAATGAAAGCAAAACGGTCGTTATAATTTGAATTCCATTCAAGTAATAGACTGTTTGGGTACTAATTGAATTAGCGCTGCTGTCTGCAGACGAAGAAGCGCATGTAATTCGTGAGCGGGAATAAGCCTGAATTATAAGTGAACTTTACGTGAAATTCATAATTCCGTAATGCATTCAGCGAACGTTAAATAAAGCCAGTGTGTAGCTTGGGCAAAAATTCGCACGCGTTATCGAAGTGCGTTATATAGATGCTCCATATCACGTTCAGACTCATTTTTATTCAATTTGCCTGTGTGTGTGGAGAAAAAGCTGTTACTCGACATATATGAAATATAACGAATAGCAAAAATACCGTTCGTTTCGCAGTCTCTCTTTCTCTCTTTTTTACTGGCAAATAGGAAAGTTCGGCAATTTTCTAACGCCGTTGCTGCCTTCCCGGGTACACGAGTATAAGTATACATGATAGAGAGACTTTTCATTATTGGTTTTTTTTCGGAAAGAAAGAGAAAGCGAGACAGGGTAAAATTATTAGGTCAGCGTGACTCTAATGCACAAGCGTTTATATACATATACATTTGAGTGAGAGAAAAAAGAGGGAGGGAGAGAGAGAGCGAGCATTTTACCTCGTTTACCTGGGCTTCTTTCACTCGCTATCGGGGGCTCGGTAATGAGTCGTAAAAGGTTTTATGTGATTAAAACACTGTTAATTTTGCTAGAAGTAATTTATTGGCTCATTTTATCGCAGTTTTATATACATATATACAAACGCAATTCTATTATGCATATCGTATGGGCGTTCGAGTGCGTGCACGTTTCGTGAGAGAATTTTTTTGTAGTCATCGGTAAAAAAAAACGCTACTAGCTTCCTGAAGCAGAAAATTTTTTATATTGATCAGAGTATCAGCGTTCCGTGATTAGCAGCGTGAAATTTAATAAAATGCATTCCATCGACCAATTCATTTCAGGGTGCACATGTGAATTTGTGGTAGCGAGGATTACAATATTATTTCATGAATATTACTATGATTAAAATAAAAAATTAAAAAATTCACGTAAATCGAAAAATTCAATCCAAAATAAATACAACTTGAGAAAAAAAATCCACAATAATAATCCAACTAGAAAGTTTAAGGTATCTGAAGTTTCCCTTGTTCTCATCTAATTGCAATCGGATTGATCTCAAAAAAAATTTATTTTTAATTTATTTTTAATTTTTATTTGAAGTTGTTAATACAATAAATAAATTATTTATGTAACACATTATTTAACAAAGCGACAGAACCAAGTAATTGATATTTATTTACTAACATATGATGTCAAGGCTCAAGTTTATATGTTTATGATTTTTTGATCTGCCGAGATTTCATCCCGTTTCAAATATTTTTATTATCTGAAGTAAGGGTTAAGAAAATTAATCAGCATGGCTTGTAGCTGCAAAGCAAATGTTACATAAATCTTCATTTGTGAGCTGCTCGATGATCATTTCACAACAGAGAATCGGCAGCCGATAACATGTTAACTCCAAAAAAAAGTCCAGGGCCCACCGTCGGAAAAATCCTCTCAATATGATCTCACACAGGTGTGCAGTACAGGCCTGAAGACATCCTTCAGAAAACTTCACCAAAGTTAGTGAGCGCGACAATTCCATGTAGTCCGAATGTGTGAGTTGTTTCGCCACCTGTTCGGGTCGTAACTGAATCAGGTCATAAAACGACAGGCCAGAACTTGTCATAATTTTTTTCGCTTCGCTCTCGAACTCATCGTCATCATACCATAATTCATCAAAACTATCCAGCGACTTCTGGAACATTTCGCACTTAGCGAAGAATTTAGCGATTGTCAGGGCGTCGTTTAAATCCAGTACATATCCTCTTTTTTCAAGACTTTTGACGACTTCAAGAGTTCCATATGCTTGTTTCAGTTTATAATTGCACCAATAATCATATTCCGAGTCAAATACCTTGAAGTCACTCTCAAGGGGAAAAACGAAGCCAGACAGATCAGCACCGTAGTCCAACAGATACTCAATCACTTGCGGTAAAAAATTTGCTACAGCCAATTGCAACGGTGTCCGACCCAAATTGTCCCGAGCGTCGACATGCACTGTCTGCTTAATATCGTCGTTGATCTTTAAGAATATCTTTACCAAGTCATTATCGCTATAACGAAATTTGTCTCTTTTGCAAATAATGTGTAGAGGTGTCGATCCCGTCTCGTTAACCAAATTAGGATTCGCACCTCTTCTTAGCAGCAATTCGATCATAAGTTTGTGTCCAGTTTTCATAGCCGAGTGCAATGGTGTGTTACCAACATTGGTTCGGGCATCGAACTGCAATGTCTGCTGTAGATCGTCGATGATCTTGAAAAATTTCTCGGCATATTCATCGTCGCTATAACAATCCTCGCAAAAACAGTGAAGAGGTGTATGTCCCGTAACGTTGACCAGATTCAGATCGGCGCCGTTTCTCAGAAGCAGTTCAAAAACTTCGATATTGTGATGCTCC